CGTAGCTAGATCGATTTATCGCCCCCGAAATCCCCTGTACCTATACTAAATTTTATGAAAATCGTTGGAGCCGTTTCCGAGATTCAGGTTAGTTATAAATATATTAATATACAAGAATTGCTAGTTTAAAGGTATAAGATTAACGTACTTAGACTAATAAAATATTTTCTCGATTTTTTTTAAATCGATAACAAATTATTAATATCCTATTCCATTGTAATTATGAATAATTGTATTTTGATTAACCTATCCGACGTACATAAAGAAAATAGTTCTATTCCACTTTGAAAAAAATATAGGTTTTCTGCCCCGAAATTCTTGCTACTAGTCATTAAGAGTCCCGAAATCCATGGTACTAGTTACTAGAGTTCTCCGATCGTTAGTGACTTTAATTTTTATAATCCTTAATCCAGGCTCAATTGGCGACTGAAACGGTACGTGAAAGATCTTTTAGGAACTTGAATACGTGTACATTGCGCAAAAAAATACCAATTTTGATTTTTTTTGATTTTGAATTTGAAATTTTCTTCTGGATGTTTGTAATTTGTATTCTTATTGTATTATTCTTTATTCTACACATATTAATGCAAGTTTGCTTAATTATATTTATTAGCTTAATTATATTGTATACATCATTTAGTGACCTTCAGATTAAGTTAATTTAGTGTGTCTACCGATAATTTTAGCGACCCTATTCGTTTCAAAAGGCAGTCATGATTCGACATCCCACGAGTCTCCAGTTTTCCCTCACGTGAGCTCACGAACGAAGCGAGCACGATTTTAAAGTACGCTTTGGTGGGTATTGTTTCAGAATGTAATATATGTCGGTGGAACGTCTTTTTGTTAACAACGTGATATATAACTTCTTCAACTTCTTTTCTCTGTCAGAAAATCAATTTGTTAATATTTTCTCTATTATGTTAAAAAAAATTATAACAAAAGATAAGCTCCATGATTTATTTTAGAAGTTGGCACTCAGAATACTTGCTGGCAAACCCATAAAAATACACTGTCTTTAGATTCATTCTAGTGTGCTTGAACCTTTGTGTAATCAAGTAAACTTTGTGTAACATAAAATTAGAATTTATATTAGTATTCGTGGGGAATGCAACTTAATAAATTACGTTGCTGTATCTTATACCTTTAAATGATTAATATATATATATAATCTGAATCCCGAAAACGGCTCCAACGATTTTCATAAAATTTAGTATACAGGGGATTTTGGGGGTGATAAATCGATCTAGCTATGATTTATTTTCAGAAAATGTTGTTTTATTCATGTTTTCAGTAATCAACTCTTCCCGACATCTATTGGCGAGTAATAATACTATTTTTCTTAATTGTGGGCAACTAACCGCTTTAAAGACACAACAAGATGGCTTTATCAAAAAAAAACGAGCAAAGCTCGGACATCATCTAGTTATCTTTTAAAGGAAATAATGATTTGCATTTGACAATTGAAACCGTAAAACATTTTTTTTTTTAATCTAGACAAGTCCCATTATATTTACCTTATATGTATTTACCATTCTAGATACACCAGTCGAGTCAATAGAAGTCGCAATAACGCCTTTTCTGGTTGAATCAAATGCAGAACTCATTGTGTTCGTTAATACATTAAGGTTTCAATCGTTATTAAAAACAGCACAGCTGAGAATATTCTCAGTGCAAGCTCGCGTGGGTCTCACATAAATTAACCAAGCACCGGTAAACTCAGTCGTGAAAAGGAACAGACATCTTCAGACAGGCTTAGATTTATGCAAATGAAATACGAACTATCAGAGTACCTACTCTATGGACTAGAGATTCTCGATCGCTATTCGAGTTGTGTTTGAGAAATATGGAAAGTGCTTCTTTGAGAAATACGGAAAGTGCTTCTGTAAGGTTTCTAGATTCCGCTTAACTGATTAATGTGAAACATGTCAAATAAAAGAATATCAGTCTAATGTTTTAAATATTTATAGGTACATTGTAAATATAATTTGTTTTTATTTTCATTTCTTTATTGATACAGAATTGTAAGTTATGAGAGTAGCATTTTCAGACACTATAGTTATTTTCTTTTTATTTTCTAACAAGGTGCCTTGTTTGGTGGCCGACCCTTGATTTATTTTTGATTCGAACGCTATCAAACTGTGAGGATCATCCACCAAGTCAACCTAAAGATTGCCTGAAAACTTCTTAGAAATGGATTCAGCTGTTTTGGAGTTTAAATGGAACATACAACGTCTTCCATAGATATAGTGAAACATAAATGTCACCTTCCATAACAACGGATAGCAGCAAAGAGGTCCAGTGATATAGTGTAAGAAAAGGGAGAGATTGTGAGTTCAAGCTGTCCAAGCAGTCCAAAAGTGTACATTTTAACATTCACATACAAAATTCTAACCGATTGTGATTTCTAGAAAATATATGTCAATGCAATTATTTCTAAATATAACCCTCGACTTTTAATATGGTAACATCCACTTTCCCATTGAAGATCCAGATCACGCAAACTCCGACTAGGTTTCGGAGAAACACTAAAAATTCCCCGGATTATGGACGAGACGTAATGAGAGGTATGATTATGATAGTTTTCAGGGGCTTAAAACTATTTCTAACACGTAGCAGTTGTCCAGGGTTCCATTTGATAAATATTAACATTTTAATTACATCATGGACGTCAACTTTCACACTGCGCTTACTTTAAACTTTGAGAACCATATGAATTATTTAAATATTTCGAACACTGTCATACCAGACGCAACGGGATCCTGTCCGATCTTACGATGGGTGGCCTTTAATTGCTTCAGATGAAATCGTCGGTGCCAGTACACATATAGTACGTGACAGTATTCAATTACGAACACCGAGCTCAAGATCTCTATCGCTCGCACCGTGGCTTGTGTGGGATCTGTATGCAATAAATTTACAGACGTAACAATTAGTAAAACTGTACAGTCGTGATTAAAATTATTCTCTTACGTGAGCGCCAGTATTTTATGTTAAATGTTTCAATATATCCTTGACTTTAGTTTATAGGTGAAGTAGTAAGTACATTGTATTTTAATCGAATCGATAGGAGATGAGTACGGAGTTTGAGAATGACACTCTCATATTTCATTACAATCCAGATCCAATATCGGATCGAGATCAAGATGCCTGCTAGCCTCTATACTCTTATACGTACGTGCAAATGGAAGCTTATCTAATATTTGTTTTTTTTTATTGCTTAGATGGGTGGACGAGCTCACAGCCCACTTGGTGTTAAGTGGTTACTGGAGCCCATAGACATCTACAATGTAAATGCGCCATCCACCTTGAGATATAAGTTCTAAAGTCTCAAGTAGTTATATAGTTACAACGGCTGCCCCACCCTTCAAACCGAAACGCATTATTGCTTCACGGCAGAAATAGGCAGAGTGATGGTACCTACCCGCGCGGACTCATATAAGGTCCTACCACCAGTAAGAATTGTCATTTTAAGTTGTGTAATTAGCGATGGTAAAGTCCGCACGATTGAGTACTACAACCTTACCTGCTCCTGCTACAAAACACTCATCCATCTCTGTTTGACGGGTAGGGGGTCAGCCATTAAGCAATATTAAGACTAAGAACTCAATTCTCGATGTGCATAGTAATAATTTTCGAGACAATATTTTTACGGCGTGTATTCATGCCATCACCCAGTCCATTATTTCTGCTGAGAGGCGGTCGTGCGTTTCGATTTGAAAGGTGACGCAGCTTGTCTGAAGATTTATATAAACATTAAAATTCATAAAGATTTATTTCTCACGTTTCAAGGTGGGCATCGGTAATCGCGTTGTAACATAATAATTAGTCTTAAGTGTACGGTGTTCAATGACACCGTACACTTAAGACTAATTATTGGACAGTAAGCTCTGCTTAACTATAGCATTATGTTTCACCTAAATCGACTTGCGAACCTCAAACGAACAAATTACGAACCTATAACGCAATAACAGTCACTTGGTTCGATACTTACAGCTACAAAAAACTTCTAAATATTATAAAATATCCATCAAATATTCAAGAAATACTCCCACAGACGGCGTCGAGTAATAAAATTTAACATGCAAATTTCGGGCAGAGAATAACGTGCGTCCGCCGTCGTTGCTAGCATATTTCTTGCTATTATTATCACAGAACAGTGTTTTCGATGATCTATATTTAACCATACTGGACATGTCGCTATAATAATTAAAAACAATTATAATTAAGTAGATAGGTGCAAAGTAAGACAGAAAAAATATTTTTTTAAAACGACAAATCTCATACCCTGATGCATAAGGTAATAACGAAGTTGAGTGTAATTTAAGGTGTCATCAATTTAAAAGTGCGTTTTCTTTTTTAAATGTGATGCTATTTTTGAGAGCGCTATCCTGGATATAGAATAGACAAAACTGAACGTTTACTATATTCCTTAAAATATCTATGAAGAAATAGAAGTAGTTGCTGTTTGCGTAAATTTCAAAATCGGCACAATGACTGGCACACATTCAAATTGCTGCTTACTATTCATTCATTAACCATGATTTCAATTGTCTTTTGTTTTTAGTTTATCTTCATGGGCAAACGAATACACATTCTATAATATGTCAGGGGTTACTGTTGCTAAAACTTCACAAAGTAAATGACGTCACCTAATTACTGGATACGGATTTTCTGTCTTTAAAAACCGAAAAATGTAGCCAGCACCAGGCTAAACATGCCTCCACTCCTCCTTTGTGTAATTCTTGTCAGAGCGGTCGTGGTCGTCATTTAGTATCATTGCTGTGGGCAGATGTTAAACGCCTCACGGGTTATGTTATGCTATGTTATGTTATACTTATGATATGCCTCCACAATTATCTCTAAAAAAAAATCGACACATGCAAGGAATAACATTGTAATTCAGTTTTAGCTAAATATGAGTTACAATGTTATTCCTTGCACGTGTCGATTTTTTACGATACAGAGTGAAACTTCATAATTTTTTTGTGTTTTTATTTCAGAATCGCACGTGGACAGCTGACTCGTCAAATTATGGCACATGGCAACGTGTTACTGGTACAAAAGTGTCAATTTACTCGGCGTTCTATGACGATCGTACATCGCAGCCCTACATTCGTATCCTGGCCTTTTTTCACGGTAAAATATTTATGGTAAATTCTTATTCATTATAAAATACTTTTGTATTACCTTCGAAGGTAGACAAGCCTACAGTGCTCTTAATAGTTCATGAAACGATAACCATGGAATATTTAATCTAGAGGTTAAAACATAACGCTGGAAAAATACCTTCCCAGGCTGATTCCACTATTGATGCCAAGCGTAGTGGTAGAAATGGTTAAATTAGAATTAAGTTTGGTTTCAATGACTGACTCGATGGTGCTGTAGTTAGCGCCACTGACTGTTATGTCGAAGGTCGTGAGTTCGATTCCCACATCGAGCAAACATTGTGTGATCATCATCATCATCATCAGCCTTTATCTGCCCACTGCTGGACATAGGCCTTTAACATTGTGTGATGAACCGATTTATTTATGTATGTACTAACTGACCCGGCAAACTTCGTAGTGCCTCAATCGATAAATAGAAGACCTAAAGTTTTGTATAAAATAAACTTAAAACAAACAAAAGGAATCCATCCGACGGGGGTCACATCAAAGGAAAAACAAAATTGTTATGTTTACTTAATTCCGAGCATTTTCATATCTTTTTCTACCTTTTAAACCTTCTTTAGACTTCCACAAATCTTTTTAGCGAGACTAACGAGCAGCAATTCATTTATATTTATATAGATTTAAAACATATATATGTATAAGTTTATCAATCTCTGGCACCGATGAACACAGAGAGTCCTAAATTGGGGCCAGATGACCGCGCGTGATTTGTTCCCAGTTAGCAACTCGAGATAAAGTATTGCTTCTGTCATTCTCTGGTCCATAAACTATCAATCGCTTTGCATGTGACACGCAAAGTAACGAACTAGCCAACACACTCTACACTACACTACACTATTTATAAATAAAGTACTAGGCTTTGCTCTATTCGTGCCATTTAAAATTAAAATAAATAACTGCGTATTAGCTTAAAAAATAACAAACAGACTTAAATAGCAAACCGAACTAATATTTAATTAATTTTTTTAAGTTATGACATTATTGTATTGTCAATAGTTACTTGACGCGTGTGCAAGCTTTCGAGTCAAACATCTTAAAGTCGTCAAAAGTTACATTCAAAGATTCCGTTACATACAAAAAACATACAAACCAAACAAGCTAATTAAGGCGTATTAAAAAAAAGAAGGTATCTGTTAACCCACATCCTTATCAATACAGATTTCAAACTAACTTTGTCACCTAAGCTTTTGAAATAACAATAAAAACTGAATCGCAAAGCCTAGTCGAGTTATGACTTTATCGCGGAATCAAAATTCCTCATGCCTCCAATTAGTACCAGTATAAAACTTCTCAAATACTTTATAGTACACGTGTTAAACAGAAGAACACGCTTTTTACGCTTCCTCGGTTAGGGCTAGCAACGATTATGAAAAAAAATCCTTTTGATGTCAGTGTAGAGTTTTATGAAAAACAAAAAAGCAAAAAATATGATGAAGTTGATAATTATGTTTTTTAACTGCTCGGTTTAAATTTAATTTCAATAATTTTATATTTTAATATGCTTATGTAAATACTTTCACTAATAGGCAACTAATAACTTCTTAGCTTACTTCGCATCTTTTTGTCGAGACAGTTATCATGGGTCTCACTCCAACGCTATTGAAAGGTACGGCAGTAAAAGTGAAGCAGTAAGCGTTTACTTAAAGTTAGGGCTGTAGGATATACCATTTTAAAACTAAGTAGCCATCCGGGTTTGGAATGAGCTCCCCTCAACGGTGTTTTTCGAGCGCTATTACATATCCTTCTTCAAACGAAGCTTGTGGAGAGTACTTAACGGTAGGCAGTGACTTGACTCTATCCCTGACGTCCATGGGCGACGGTAACCACTCATTTGGTGATCCGTATGCTCATCTGCCTACAAGGGCAATAAGTAAAAAACTAACAAAAGACGATTTACCGGATAAATGGCAAACGGTACTTTATATTAAGTGAAAAAAGTGAATACATTTGTTTTTAGTTTTTTTTTACCTATGCTGATAGCCTTGAGAGGATATTTCGGAAATGTTGCTAACACTGGCCCTAGCAAGAACAGTGCTTCGCAGAATCTACCACCGGATCGGAAACGCGACCCACTGAGAAGATCCGACAAGAAACTCAGTGGGCTGTGTTATGGGTAAATTCGCTCGTCGACCCCATCGTCGCAAGCGACGGGTTCGACGAGGACAGCGACCGGTGCTTGTGGTCCCTAAAAGCACCGTGGATGCGTGCTTGTCGTTATACCAATGAATTGCTCTATTTAGAAGAAGATTTAATAAATCCCTAAATGTAAGCCACACAATAAGGTACAGCAAAGCGTGGAATGAAATTAATATTATGTCAACCCTAATTTGAACATAACACAGTAATTGACAGAGCATTATTCTAACGAACGTTGAGTACACCTGTGACGGCTAATTAAGGTTGATGTGGATGAATTATTCAACAATTCTTGGACATTGTATTTATTTTTTCTCACATTTGAATACGATCATAATAATTAATCTCATTGTCAGAAAACAAATGACAAAGTCCATTAAAACTCAAGTAAGCATCGTTACTAACTTAAGTTATTGGTGTAGTGATAATAATATAATACCGAGGGACAGGTCACACTAGCGTGGTATGGACATGTGATGTATAGAGAGAAGATGCATGTGACTAGGAAATGTATGGCAATGGTAGTGCAAAAAAGTAGAGGGGGAAGAGGTCGAACGAAGAAGACATGGATGGAGTGTGTGAATGACGATATGAGAGAGAGACGAGTGAGTGTTGAGATGACGGCTGATAGAAGAGAATGGAAGAGAAAAATTAGCTGTGCCGACCCCAACTATACTATGGGAATCAGAGACCATACATACAGAGTCAGACGAAGAATAAGCAAAACCAAAGCTGTTCATCACAAAAATATTTACCAGATGTGGAAATCGAACTCACTACCCTCAGCCCGGCGGTCAGTGATTACTACTGCACCATAAAGTCAGGCGAGTTCAACGAAAAATAAATAGGGTGCCTTAACAGAACGCATTACGAAAACCGCAAACAAATAGCAACATTCCATAACAATTTATATATAAAACGTATGTTATAGTGTGAGAAGGCGCCGCTTGTGGTATTGTATAAAATTAAATATGGTCTAGTTGTCTTGTCTACAAAATTAAAACTTATACTCATAAGGAATAGAACATTTATAATTTTGCATGATTTATGCGCACGCGCCGCCTCAAGCACTGCCGTGTCATATTCTCTAGTAAGTGATGTAATTGCACATTTCAAAAACCCTTCCATCAGTCTCACTGACAGTTACTTTTATTTATTTTTTAAAACAAAACATTATCTTATTCTTTTTTACATCGTAAAAACATTTTTTTGCAAAGAAGTTTTAAAATTGCGATGAAATATAAAGTTTTATGATCTTTCTTTTCGTTTCTTATTATCCATGAGAATTATAATTCAAGCAAAACGAATGTTGTTAATAAAAAGCCTTGGAAGCCTTTCTTGAGGCGCACATAAAATCTTCATCAATAAAGACATCGGGGAAATCTCGCACGGCGATAAAACTACACCATAATTATTGTAGATTGTGATAGGTGATCGCCACTGCGTATTTTCTATACGGCGAGTAAAACGTGTTTTATTTGTTTAACTAAACATTTTTTCAATATTTAAACGTTGCCGATTCGTTAAGTGTTGTTACAATATTAACGCGAGCCGTGAATTTTAAGTGCGAAAGTTATATCGGGTAGCTCGCAGGCTGAACCAACAACAAAAGTGTAGAAAGTGCGCGGACGGGACACCGCTGGCGCATGGCGAGCTGATAAGCTGACACTCATTTGTCACTCGAGGCAGCAGTACACGTCGTGTAAATTCCTTGCCGACCGCGATAACCCGCGCGACTCCTATATAAGTAACCAGAAATGAGAGGCTGATTAAAACACAAAGGTTTTTCTTGTTTTTACGAGAGACATTCTTTTCCTTTTTACACTTGTTCGATAGCACCCGACAACCTATACCGCTTTGAGATCGTTACAGTTTGATATAGGAATACAAAGAGATTATTTTTATTTGATTGTAACTAAACAGGTATTTTGCTGGTTATTTATGGAGCACTTAGTACATAGCTTTAAATAGGTAAATAGCAATTCAAATAAATGGAACCCGTACACAATTGGCAGTTGTTTCAGTCAGAGCAATCACTTCCAGGCATCTTTGTATTCACAACGTCACTCCATTGTTTAGCTACATTTTCACACATTCACGATTCAAAACGGAATAAGTGTACTGTGATGTTTTATTAAAATAATATCAAGTACATTACTCAATAAAACTCTCAAACATATTCTTTTAAAAAACAGTTAAACGCCACTAATATCTATTATTATCTACAATTCGCATAACAGACCATCAAACTAGACAGGTTTTTAAGTGTTAAAGAAAATTCCTAGCAACTAGTCTAGGAAGCAAACTCCTCCGGTTGTAAACCGCCTGGAATCAAATACCGTTTTAATGGATGTTCCTTGAAAGCACCGCATCGTCGTGTCTAGAAGAAAATAACACGATGACCATTATTTTTCTATTATGTAATGCAATTTCTTAGCTAGAAACACGCTATTTTCAAGCAACAACGGTAAAATTCATTATTGTCATCATAACTACACGTGTCTGAAGTTATAATTAATCACTCAGAGATATGAGCATAGCAATATTTAGGCATTATAAATTTAGTATTTTAGTTTTAGTTTTAGTATACTATTATAATATTGAAATTCAAAAATTTGCTGTTACAGAACTATTTCGATTTACAGGTCGCAACGCTTCAGCTGATCAAACACTATTCTGCCAAACGAGGTCACTCGACCCAAACGAAAATTCGGTAGAAGTTGTCGCAGCGAAACCGTTGGAAATTTGGTGGCACGAATGGGATGTTCAATCAACTGATATCGACTATCCATTTCTGCTGTCATGTCCATTAACAGGACCACTAAATGGACCCACATTAGTTTCACTAGTTACGGAGCCGTGTCTTGATCCCACAAATGCGCACCCGCTAAAACATAGTCTGAAAAGGAATCAACAAAAAAGGATATTCACAATATGTGTTAAAGATTTGAATTTTGATAAGGATATCTCGCAAAATCTAATAGAATGGATAGAAACCAATAAAATACTCGGTGTTGACATTATCGATGTGTACATCGGTAATATAAGTAAAGAAATAGAAAGTATCTTACAACACTATCGCGACGCGGGATTCATTAGATTGTTCCATGTTCCTATCAGAAACAAACCTGAAAGATCTCTATGGCAACGAAGGAGAGATCATATCATAACTTACAATGACTGTTTATATAGAAACATACAAGAAAGTGAATTTATTATACCATTAGATATCGATGAAATAATTATGCCTAAGACCGCAAACTCTTTGCCTGAGTTATTAAAACATTTAGTCAAACGAGGTTGGAATCCTAAAGAATATTCCGCAATTATGATCAAAAACGTTTTCTTTTTTAAATTTATGCAAAAAATAAATAAGAATTATTATAATTATAAAAATAAGAGCAAAAGATACGCAAAAAGGGATGATGTCCGAATAAGATATGCAAGGAGCACCAAAATCCTAGATGAAAACAATTCAGTACATTTGTTTGATAAAAATAAATTAGGTAATAAAAATTCAGTAGATGTGAACGAACTACAGGTATATTATGAAAATTACAATTCCAGATGCGGCCACGACATGCCGACGTCTAAATTAATGACTCATGTAATAAGTTCAGCATTCATTAGTCCTATAGGATTTTATAGTAAAAGTTTTATGGTCACCGAAAGAGTATTAACAGCGTTCAATCATTACCCTCTTGCTAGTCTTGGAACTTCAGGATTCGACGGTTGGCCTGCACCATTCAAAGAAGTTCAACTTAATCATTATAAGGTAAAATGTACTACAAACTGAGTGATAAATCTGAGTAAAAAAAGGTCCAGAAACTTATTTGACCTAGTAATTAAAGATACTTTTACTGAAGGGATCTTTGCTACGATTATCATTTTTAGTGATCTGAAATGTTAGGTAATACTACCGTTAAATAAACAATATTTACAATATGCTATCTCTGTCAAGAAAGTACCGGGAAAATATCAATATAAAAATTAGCACTTACTATACTTTCATTTAAAGATGCTGTTGAATGCAATGCTTAGAACTACAAGTTGTGGCCAGTGGGTTTTATGGGCCTCTGGCTTCGCTGACATCTATTAGCAACTGTGGCTACTCCCATAACATAATGTTGCCACTCCCCCTTATGCTCATATGTTTTCAAAAGTAATGCATATTCTATCTACTTCTTTATCCTATACTTTTCCGACTAGACTACTATATAGTTAAGTCGTGTCCATGCCATTAAAGTTATGGACATTTCAGCTAATAAAAAGCGTAAGTCTATGCCGTGTGACGGAAGCCATCTCTAACGACATGGAGCGTTGATATATAACACACTAGACAACCCAAGATGTAAATTACTAGCGCCCAAAAACGTAGGGATCCACATGTAGAGGTAGAGACCACAAGTAACTGTTATAGCGGAAAAGAACACATCTGATTATAATAAACGTAGATAAGAATTAGTGAAGGAGGAAAATAGAAATTTTGGTAACGCGCGGTCATGGTAAATACCTATATATATATAGAACTTAGAAATGCCGGGGTCATACAACGAGATCGAATATTTGACTTTTTATTTATTACTTAGATGGGTGGACGAGCTCACAGCCCACCTGGTGTTAAGTGGTTACTGGAGCCCATAGACATCAACGTAAATGCGCCACCTACCTTGAGATCTTAGGTCTCAAGGTCTTAAGTTCTAAGGTCTCAAGTATAGTTACAACGGCTGCGGGTTTTTTTTTTGTTTTTTCTCAAATATTTTCTTTTTTTTTTAAACTGTAGAAATTACTCTTATTTTCTTGTTTGACTTGTCAATTTTATAAATCATGTTGTGCAGGAGTCGTGCAACGCGACCGTCGTGCCGGAGTGCGAGCTGTACCAACGCGACGTCCGCCTCGATCGAACCGCGCTGCGATTGAGAAAAAAACTGATCGAAGCACTATCAAATTCCATCTGTACATAAATAAATATCTAAATATAAGCAAATAGTTTTACTTATAAAAAAAAAATACCTAAATACTTACTACATAAATATCGAGGGGTGAAAGGCGCATTAGGTTTAAGCGATGTTCCGCTTAATACGCGACTTTTTTTATGGCTTAGATGGGTGGACGAGCTCACAACACTTTAACCCACCTGGTGTTAAATGAGTACTGGAGCCCATAGACATCTACAACGTAAATGCGCCATCCACCTTGAGATATAAGTTCTAAGATCTCAGTATAGTTACAACGGCTACCCCACTCTTCAAATCGAAACGCATTACTGCTTCACCGCAGAAATAGGCAGGGCGGTGGTACCTACCAGCGCGGACTCACAAGAGGTCCTACCACCAGTAAAAATTTTTCTTTGTAATTAAAGGACCGTTTCATTTGCTATTAGTATCAACAATTCGATGTTTTTAATTGAATTTCCACTAAGTTTACTGCATTCAAATAGCTAAAGGAGTACATATTTGGTTATGATATTTTTTCCAAATTTTAAACTCTAAACTGCTCTCCTTTTTTTTATGATTGAAGGATCACTGGTGGCCTTGAGGCCTTTCCAATTTCACCAAGACAGGTGGGCGAACAAAGGCTCAGCCAGGAGGAGATGGCTCTCCTGTAAAGTTACAGTCGCTTAAACCAAATAGCCGTTCAGCCCTCAATATAATAAACATCTTTCCGTATTCCCTTTTTTTTTGACTTCCACATACTTTCTAATACATAGAAAATAGGTTCACGAATACAAAATATACCTTATCCTGAAATCAAACGAATTTATCTGATAATTTTGAGTGGGAAGCGGCTTTTACGTCTGACATAACTCAGAACTACATAAACATGCATCATGCATGACCGCGATCAGGACAATGATATGAATTACCATAAAAAGAGTTATGAAAATATTTAAATCTATATGCGCAAGCCGTTCCACAGATATAGCATCTACATGTCAATGAACTTTTGCTTGAGTTTTTCTAAGGAAGACACTTCCAGCTTAGCCAAAAACAGTATTACGAGTGTCATTTATACATCTTTATATAAATACGAGCTGACCCGGCAAACGTTATTTTGCCATATATACAGGGTGGACAACCCTTATCACTTAGGGGTATGAAAAATAGATAGTAGCCGATTCTCAGACCTACTGAACATGCATATATAATTTCATAAAAATCAGTCAAACCGTTTCAGAGGAGTATGGTAACTAACATTGTGACACGAGAATTTTATATATAAGATATCAACGTTTTTTTTTTAGTTATAGGTACATTTTTAAATCATTCATACGACTTGTAGCACGGGTGTATTTCAAATATCACAACGAAATGTACCCGGCTTTAACTAGTCTTAAATAAATTTTAATATCCACTACCATGCTCATAGAGCATGTTCTTAAATTGAATGTAATTGAATCACTTTTTTTTACTACATTGATGGGGAGATCTTCGGCTACGTGTGCCTGTTTCCACATAATCCGTCTGTCTATTGTAGCAGTAGCAATATTATCCTTTCAGATTTGTTGTATGTCCTTATTGTTGTTGTTGTTGTAAGGTGGGCGCACGAGCTGCTCCCACCGTCCCTCAAATTTCCACCACGAAGGAATCATTAACGGGTAACTGCTATTATTATGTATATGATATTTCGACGTCATAGTCTCCCACAGTAATAGTAAATCTACTAAATTTAATTGACTACATTTATTGTGCATTTGTGAAATCATATTACTTTTAGTTTTACAAGAACAGTCTGAAGTCGAATTTGAAAAATAGCATTTTGCATTCGTCCGTTTGTTTTTTTTCATAAAGAAATACTTCAAGAGAGCTAAAATGCTAAATAAAAAGTCATTCAAATCGAAATACATACTTGGTATTTCAAAACTTTATGTTGGTAAGACAACATCAGGCCATTGTGATTGATGACCGGGGATGTTTGGATTGCCTCCGGGCCAGAAATTCTTTTGGAATACAAATATAAATCAAGATCGGTGCACCGAATGCATTTGATTTATCTCTAAAAGTACATTCTACTTTTTTTATTTCTTCTCGATGTTCTATAGCCAATTTAGCTAAACATGCTATCTCACAGTTTTATTCTCTCGTTCTTAATTTCATAATATTACATACAATGCGTGTATTATAGCGGTGATGTTGATGTTAACAATTCTTTATTACATTGCCGTAACTTCGTATACTTCAAATAAACGCAACGTCTTTTTGAAGCAAATAAGGATAAATGAGTCGTCTATTATCAAAGGTGGCAATCTGTGCATTTGGACAAAAAAATGTTATTGATATGTCAATACAGATTGATTTGAATATAATCGTCTCCTTCAAAGAATACGGTTCAAAACTTGCATTAAATAAAGGTTAATACTTAACCTGTTATTTATCTAGGATGTCGTTCAGAAGAGTTTTGTGACTGCCAATGGAATACAAAGTCAATAATTCGTTTTCCTGATTTACCAATAATTGTCCAAAAGTCACATTGCCGGCTTTGATAATAGTCGACTCAAATAATAGAATGCACATAATCATTAACATTTACTTACGCGATTATACTTAACCAAAGCTAATTTTCGAAACAGTCACTTTCTGATTAAGTCTTTCGCGCGCTGATGTGTAAATAGCTGTGTATGTAATGTGTATAATGTCTGTAATGTAATGTATATTTGTTAGTCTGGTCTCGAAGCGGTTACTTTAGGATAATGTGAAAATTATAAGATCCATTGTAATTAGTATCCTAGATTATAATTTCTCTTCAACCAGTGATTCCCGACCAGGCTTCGCCGTAACTATCCGTAATTATATTAATCACAGCCATTTTTAAAAGCGACGTGAATCCATCAGAAGAAGTTACTGTTTAAAAAATTTGTCTTAGAGTACAAAAATTATCAGCACAAAAATTCAATCATTAACGCAAATCTCAATTGGATAGAAGACATGAACATAACACATGTAAACCAAAAAAAATTCGCTTTATTCGGTACATTAATATGATATAATAGACATGTATTAGGAAAAGGTCACTTCGATAAAGCGGCACGACACGAGAACCCTCTCACCGTGGCCGCCGGTAACTACATTCCCGATCCTGCGGACAGAATGGAAAGCAGTCGACGTCGCCCAAAACACGTCATCTCGGAGCCTCCCGATCCACTAACGGTGCTTTTAGGTACTTCAAGCACCGGTCACCGTTCTCGTCGAACCCGTCGCTTGCAACGAAGGGCTCGACGAGTAAATTAACTCTCAGACACAGCCCACTGAGTTTCTCGCCGGATCTTCTCAGTGGGACGCGTTTCCGATCCGGTGGTAGATTCTGCGAAGCACGGCTCTTGCTAGGGTTCGTGTTAGCATCGTCATCAGGTTTGAGCCCCGTGAGCTCACCTACTAGCCACGGTTACGCTGAAATAGCCTCTAAAGGCTATCAGCTTAAGTAGGAAAAAAAAGGAAAAGGCAATTCAGTTTCATAAGTTTCTGAAATTAATACGAAAATCGAATCTTAATGTAGGTATTATACCTAGTCAGGTCTTAAATTCTGTCACATGTTTAATGTAAAATAATTGAAACAAGTTTATTCATTATGTAACCATTCATATACCAAAATGAACTTAACAAAACATTGATTCTTATGACACTAAAATTTATTCAAAATGACCTCCGTGATTTTGAATACAGGCCTTCAATCTGCGCGGCCAGTAGTCTATCGCAGCACGAACGAGGTCCATGTCAATATCGGCGGCTGCCTTAATTAAAGATGTCTTGAGTGACTCCCAATTGGGATGAGGCTTTGAGCACGCCTTTTCCTCCAAGTATTGCCATATCTTGTAATCTAACGGATTCAAATCTGGACTGGAGGAGGGCCAGTCTTCGTGCCGGATGAAGTCGATTTCACGCGCCGCCAGCCAGTCTTGTGTGCTCTTCGCTCTATGAGCTGGTGCCGAATCTTATTGGAATACCCAGTGCCTGTTATTGAACATGGTATGAGAAACAGGTTCCACAAGGTTCGTCAGGACTGTATTTTGATACCCAACTGCATTCGTTTTTACACCTTTCTCACAAAAATGTACCTCTGTTAAGCCCCAATAAGAAACTCCCAACCATACCATGAGCGAGGATGGAAAATGACCTCGTTGGACACACGGAATACAGTTGCTCGCTTCTTCACTACTGTGTGCGTACACCTTATCATTTTGTTTGTTGTAGCTCTCTTCTACGGTAAAAATTTTTTCATCCGAAAAAAGAATTTCCCGATATTTTTTTCCCGCGTACCGCTTCAACAAAGCGCGGCATCTCTTCAGTCTCAGGTCCATTAGACGAGCATTCAAACGATGTCCTGTTTTTCTTCGATATGCCCGAAGCCCTAAGTCTTCATTTAACACCCTTTTCACCGTGGTTCTGCTTAACCCCATCTGAAGGGCTAACAGTTTCTGCTTACGTTTGGGATTTCTTTGAATTCGCGCCTTCACAGCTTTTATCACTGCTGGAGTCCTAACAGACCGAGGGCGACCACTTCTTTACCTGTCATCTACACTAGAGTCTTCATTGTATCGTTTGATGGTACGATAAACGAATCTTTTGGTTATATTCAAAATTTTCAGTATGTTAAAAATTTGAGTTGGCGCGTAACCGCAACGATGCAACGCAATAACTGCAACACGGTCTTCTTTAAGCGTCCACTCCATATTTAAAAATGAGTAAAAATTCTAAAAGTATACATTTTTATTTTCATGAACAATTCGAAATTCGAATTCAATAAACTTTTTTGTGGCCAGCATTGTAAAAGAAAAGTTTTTACTGTGTGACAATACTTATGACCTGACTAGTTATATAGTAATTTTCATATGTTTATTAATGTGACTTCATTCCGATATTTCTAATTTGTTTTATCGCATATTATTTATTAATCTCGAGTTAATTTGAAAAAATAGGTGTGACAATCTCAATTCACTCTAATGTCTTCTTTTTTTCTACTCGTTGGTAGCCTTAGGGACTATAAC